AAAAAAAAAAAGGGTGACGAAACCCCCCAAAAAAACAAACAAAGAAACAAGAGGCTCTACAAACCAAACGGCATCGGGACGAGAAAGAAAACAAGCAGAAAGAAATATAGAGAGAACGCATCCGCACACACACACACAGAGGTATGCATGCGCCCCTCTTCTTCTTTGTGCTGTTGCACGTGACGTGCAGGTATTCACGCACCCCCGTTTCCCAAATGGAGAATCACATGGAGAAAGAAAGAAGCCCCCCTCCCGCTGCCCTTCGACTGCCTTTCACACACAAACACACACACACACATATATATATATATATAGTTTTTTCTTCTTTAAATTTCGTCACCCCCGCGCCCCCCCTTCCCTGCACACTTCAATCTCGAATGTCGTCTTGCTGTTAATGATGGTGGTAATGTGTTCCACCCCTTCCCCTCTTTCTCCCCTCCCTCCCTTCCTTCCTTTGCACCGCGCACCACCACAACCGACGGCGGCGGCGGCGGCNGGAAAGTTCTGCTAGTCGTCTCCGTTTATCACGACGTACTCCTCCTTCTTATCGCCGATCTGCACTGTGCGGGGCGGCTCTTCGAGCCCGTTGTCCCCCTTCTGGTGCTGCTGCTGTTGAGCCCCGCTGAGCGCGTTGAGTGCGTCGAGCGGGTTGCCGCCGGCCTGCATCTCCACCCGCACCTGCAGCGCCCCCTCACTCCCGAGCACGTTCATCACATCGTCCTTTGACACCGTCAGCGTGCGCGTGCCGCTCTCCTCACGCCACTCTAGCTTCCTGATGCTCACGCCGCTGGCGCTCATCAGCTCAATGCTGTGTGGGGGGGTCTCACCCTTGCGGCAGAAGATGAAGAAGACAAGCTCCTTGATGACGTTCGTGTCGTACAGTGCCACGGCATCGGCGGCACCCGACTCCTTCTTCACCTCGAGCCGCACAAGAAGAAGGTTGCGGTCGACCACGAAGCCACGCGAGGAGTACGGGTTTAGCATCTGGCTGAACAGCCGCGGCACCGTCCAGTTGACTACCACCGTGTTATTCTGCGCCATGTTCGACATCACGAGACTGTCGTCATCGAAGCAGAAGTGCACCGACAGCTCGTCGTCTTTGCCGAGGAACTCAAGCATGTCTGGGCGGTAGCACGCGTTCCAGTGGCCACAGCGCTCCGTGTTGGGCGGGATTGTGTGCGCCGTGTGCTGCCGCATCAACACGCCCTGACTGTTGGCGAAGTAGTACGAATACTTGGGGATGCCGGAGGCCTTGTAGTGCAGATACAGCCCGATGTCGCCGCCCAAACCGAGCGTCATGTGGAAGTGGAACTTCGCATTGGTGAAGCAGACAATGTTGTCGCTGTCGAGCGTCGAGCCGGTCTTGAAGGTGGAGAACTTTGAGATGCGCCAGACGAAGCGGCGGCCTTCATCGTCACAGGCGATCATAACGCCATGGCGCTTCTTGGAAAACAATCCCATCTACTGCTGCTGCTGTTGTTGTTATTGCTGGTAGCGCCTGTGCTGTCAAATGACGATAATAATAGTGCAAGAACCGATAGTGGCGGCAATACGCGTGCGGTTCACCTTATTCCTGTGTGAGTACACTTACCTTCCTCTCCTCCCAGGCGAAAAGCCCCGGCAGCGGCGGCGGGGGGGGGGGGGNGGGGGGGGGGGAGAAAAACAAAAAAGATTGGAGATAACACCAAGGAAGAAACACACACACACACACAAAAGCGGCAGACATGAGTACGCCGCAGAGCGCATGCTTGCACAAAGCAATTGCATATGCTCACACAGTGTATACGGGTGCGTGTGTAGGAGGGATGCATAAAACGAAAAAAAAAAAAAGAAGCAGCGTCTGCAGGTCGAATGCATTCACCTGTATATCGCAAATCACTTTTGACGTTTCGTCGACGTCCCCCCTCCGTGCAAGCGGCGTGTATAAATAGAAATATATACGAAGCTGATGGTGCACACGGACAGTCTACATCTTTTTTCCCCTTTTCACATTAACTCAAACGACTGTTACCATTTCGTTTTAATTCCCCCGTGTCGTGTTCCCTTCCCACTCCCATTGCCTCCGTTCGCACCAGCACACCCACCGCTGCCAGCACACTTCGGACACGACGACAGATATCGATTGCCTCCACCCTTCGNCGCACCAGCACACCCACCGCTGCCAGCACACTTCGGACACGACGACAGATATCGATTGCCTCCACCCTTCGTCACTGTGTGGGCCTTGCTGCACCCCGCATGCGCCCACCCGTCCCTCTAGACGTATACACGTATAAAGGGACAAACACACACACACACACGCCCGACAGCGGCTGTGCTGTGAGGCCCACGGTACGCGGCCTGTCTGTCTGTGTGGCCCGTACGGGCGGGGGCAACCAACGCCAGAGCAACTCAAAGGGAAACAAAAACAACGGGCACACGGCATAGCAAAACCGAAAAAAAATCACCATCGCCAGCAATAAGAGGAGTCACGTGCGCACAGACGCCCCGCAGAAGTCACGTGAGAGGGTGGGCGAGGCAGAGGGTGGGTCAACTCTCCCCTCCACACAAAAAAAGCAACAACAAAAAAAGATTCAACGAAAGAAAACGGCACATCACTCACTGAAGCACACCATACCGTTGACGTGCAGAATGTTGTATGGGTGGGTAAGCGGATGGAGGCAGCAGCAAAAAGCCCGCGCAAAGCAAAAAAGCCCAAACGCAAAAAAAAAACCAAAAGGGACAGAGAGAATGGACGGGGCTATATAAAGGGAATCACGAGGCAGTAACACACACACACAAA